CGGCTCTTTTCAGGGCCACCACACACCCCAAAAAGGAAACTACCGTAACAAACAAACTATTTAAATAAATTGAACGCGTTCGTTTTTGACAAATAAAACTTTATTGTTGACCCCGTTCTTGGCTAAAAATCACCCTGGGCGTTTAACCGAGGATGTCCCCAACATGTAACTTTTGTGAAAACTGGGTGGGCGCTTGCCCAGGGAGGGGCGCGTGCCCGGGGTAATACGGTAAGTTTTTTTTTTTCATTTAGAAAATCACAAATTTCAAGCACGTTTTTCAAGCAAGTTAGAGTATACCGGTGGTTTGTGCGAGGTTTGTGAAAAAACGCAATATAATTTTGCAAATATGTAAATACGGATATGAAGCCAACATATCCAAGAGTAAGAAAAGCTGCGACATGGTAGCGCTATTCACTGAAACGCCATTTAAAATTAGGTCAACGGTAATTGCCTGAAACCGAACACCGAGAAAACAGCACTTTTATGATTTCAAACTTCAATCAACGTTTACTCCCGTTTTAGCAGCAAAATTTACATGGGCTAATTGTAAATGAAATGCTTTGAAAGTTGTTTTCAAGAAAAATCATGAACCAACATTTATATCTGTGAAAAACTTTGTTTTTTGGGCGTTTTCTTTCATGCTATGGAGTTTTGTGAAGGTCTGTGCTGATAACGAACGGTGACGTCATTCATTAAAGCTTGGATTATGCAAAGTGAGCGGCTCTGTTTGCGAGTAACAAACAATACAGACACTACACTTGGCAGTTGAAGTGTTTGAAAATACAGTGTATTTATTTTTGGGCCGTTGTGTTTGTAAACTTATTAGTTCAAGCATGCCACGAGTTTCGAAGTCTCCTGGAGGCAGCTCATACATACTGGCGAAAGGGCGGACCTGTTACTGGTTGAGGTAACCCCTAATAGCTTGACAGTTTCACCAGAGCGCGCCGTCCTTTTCCATTTGCTCGCATTCCAATGGCAGCTTTTCTATTTATTTCGAAAACTGCTCCCTTCTTTCGGGATGACAGGAAGCTAGGCTGGCTCAATCTCCTTGCATGCAAAGAAATCCAAACTGACTGCCTAGACCGTGACGCCTGCGCTCCACTATTGAGATATTGCTTACTTTGCAAAATTGACAAATCTCTTTTTCTAGGGCGCCATTCAACAGTGACATGTCAACGAGTCGAATCTGGGCATGCTACTATTTCGTTGCCGTGCATTTTGTTCGCATGAGTACATTAGATAAAACAACCAAGTATTTATCAGACAGATTTATTATATGTAACATACTTTACGAATTTAGAAAAACCTAAGCATGCAAGTATGTCTACTTAGTGAAAACTCCTCTGAAAATTGATTATATAAACCAGGTCCCAGCATATTCTTATTATTGATCAACCTTTACATGTAGTTTGTGGCCTGTTATCAGAATTTTCATGCAATGCATAGCCACCACAAATGGCCGTATTTTATTGTTTGCAACCATATTTTGTAAAAGGGAGCCCCCCTCCCAATGTAACTGGATTACTTCTGGACTAAGAAAGTAACCCCGTGGTACATTCATGTACTTTTTTGTTTATTCAAAACAAGTTGTTTCAAAAGCGATTGTTTTGTCTTTGCTGTACTTCCTGTCTAGAAAGGCAGCAGTGCACACATCTTAT